TTCTGTACATAGGCACTGAGGTGGTAAAATTACTCTGAGTAGAGGATATATTTTCGGTACTTTTAATTTTTTGACCTTAGATACTTAAGCAAATTTTAGACATTTAAATGTGGAAACGTCTCTGAACAAAAAAAAATGAAACTGAAGAGGCGTATTTTCTTGTCGTCAGAACCCTTGCTTCTGTAACCCATGTCTTCATGATTCAATTTGCCTCAACGGATATACGGACAAACAGTATCTCTGTGAGTGCCGAACTGGTTACAAGGGGGAACAATGCGAAAAAGGTAAGGCTAACAGAGCTTACGAGTAACATTCTTGGTTTCCTCGTGAACACCCTAAGTGAACACCCTAAGCGACTAGCATATTGTGAGTTTGAAAAGCAATCAAGACGGAGGGATTAAAAGATCAGACAACTTTTCGACACAAGGAATGGAAAGACAAATGCGACCTTTCGGTAAATGGTTTCTTGACATAAGCGTATGCGTTAAAAAAAAAAAAACAACGCTGAAAAAGGAAAGAAAAAAGCAAATTTGTTTGATATGAAATCCTACTGCGCCACTTGTACAATCCACTAGTTATACAGTGAAAATGTTACTACTGTACACATGTATCTAGTGAAATGCTAGTTATTTGGCATAGCAGGGTCTAGTGAGTTCCGAATCAAAATCAGTATAGTCGTGATCAATATTTTAAGACAAGAAGCGGAGAGGAGAATTGAGGAGAGACCGAACTAAACGTTTCGCTTATAGTTTCCGGTATAGTAACTGTAAATAAATTTGGAGATGGCAAGATGATATGAAATAACAAGAGGTATTCGTATTCGGTTACCCAACCAAGTACTAACGCCGCCGAACAGGGCTTAACTTTGTTGATGGGACGAGGGGCAGTGCTCACGGTCCTTGTGGTGCCGGAGTCCACGCCAAACACAGTAGTTTATTTCTAAGATCACAGATTTCGAAGCCCACACTTGAAACTGAACCCAGAACCTACGATCGTAAATGCCTAACTAAAAATCAGTTTTGATGGGCTACGCCAGAGACGAAGAAGCCGTCAGAAAGCAAATTTAAGGGGCGGAAATCACTTACAATGTGCATATTGACGTAGAAAATGAAGAACAATAAATAAATAAATAAATAAACAAACAAACAAACAAATAAATAAACAAATAAATAAATAAATAAATAAAGGAAAGAAAATGAGAGCCCGAAAAACAGGGATTTTATTAGTTGGTCGCGCGTTCAGA